AAAACTCCGGACCACAGGTGTATGCAGTGGAGAACGAACACGCGCTGTTGTCCTTATCGGGGAGCAGCGCGTGTTCGTTCTCCACTGCATACACCTGTGGTCCGGAGTTTTGCAAATATCTCAGCATTTCATACAAGTTATATTTCACAACAAGTAGTATTCTTTCTTTGATGAGCTTACACGAGGTTGATAATGATGTTTATTTTCGGCTAACGTTTCGACGTCTTGAGGAAGACGAAGACGTCGAAACGTTAGCCGAAAATAAACATCATTATCAACCTCGTGTAAGCTCATCAAAGAAAGAATACATATTGATTAGTGATACCGAGGCTCAGGGAAAGTCGGTTTCGAAATACAACAAGTAGTTTTAAACGAAATGGGTCAAATTACATATTAGATTGTCATTAGTATTGTCATTAGTAGATAGTTCACCGAATTATATGGATGTGTACGCTACGTTAAAAACGTCCAGGCTGTGGTAAAGGAGAAGTTGCCGAAACGTCAATCATCGAGCTACGGCAACAACAACAACAACTGATACCGACCTCGCATCAGCTCAACAAGGGAGGTTCGCAAGAATATGTATACGTATATATATCTATGTATATATATATATATAAACTACATACTCCTACAGAAGCGAGTAAAGCAGCAGTAGTGATCGCTTTCATTACGTGGACGTCTTAGCCTACCGACGTTTCGGTTCGAACCAGCTCGGGATGCACTAAGTCTTCTATCATTCCGCAGTTGGGAAATTGGTACCAGATTTATAGGAGGAAAGCTCACTACCTCTAATCCAAATGGGAACTCTCGAGAACGGCTATCTTAGGATTCTAGGAGGAACGACTCGACATGCATTCAAGGACATTGGTGACGACGACGAAAAATCGTTAATCAGCAGTTGAACTTAGTAGCAAAAAAAGGTCCTAAGATTCTAATGGATGGTGGATGTCGGGAAACTAATTAAATTCGAGAAGTAATGGGATTGGTGTCACACATGATGTAATAATTAGAAAAAAGCAATATTAACTAAATGTGTACTTTCTTTCGTTGATAAGTTAACACGAGTTGTTATAGACTTCTACTTAGTCAGTGTTTCAATCTTTCACTTTCTTGGCATCCTCAGTAATTTAAGTCGATTATTTATAACAGTTTGTTCCTTCGGTATCGGCCTTCGTACTTGCATCGAGTCGAGACTGGTTTAGATTGGTGCAGCACCACCCGAATGATGTAACTTCATAGGACAATAACCTCAGAAAATATGTTGCGACTTTTCATACCGACGTTGAATGAAACTCGGTCTTCAAAGTACTAATAAGCATTTTCTAGAATTCTTAGTACAGTGACCAATACCAATGAAGCATTCAAACACCATAATATACCTGCCCTGTTTGTCATAGCGATCGTTTTTATTCCCTCGCTGTTCGATTACGACACAATTTTATCTTGTCTTGAGGCCTAATATTTTATTACGGTGGAATAGTTAGATGTACCTTCTTGGTGAAGATGTGCTGATCCTATCGGTTTTTATTTCAATTAATGATGTTCCCTCTCAGCCGAGATATGGGGCTTTGAAGTTTAGCGGATGAGTTATTTCTCAATATAATCCACATAGAGAGGTCACTGCATTACTTAAAAAAATTTGTTGAAACTATTTTGAATTTCAAGACCATACGACTAGTTACGTCTCTAAGCTCAAAGTCCTTTCTTGGACAACGATGACTCATGGCATAGGTTTACTGTTGGCTTAGGCACCGAATGGGAGTGTTTTAACTCCTAAACTAAGTAACTGCTTCGGGTAATAAAATCACTGCTATCTATCGCATTTAAGCACACCACGAAGGTGTGGGAGTAGGGAATAACTACAAGATTGACGAACATGCTACACTGATCGAAGTGCTCCAACAGTTAATTCTTTAGATCGGTTGCGGAGATCACAATCTGATGAACTGGTCGATGTAGTTCTTGCTGGTTTACCTTCAAACTCTAAAACTCTTATACCGCAGGTTTACAGGTGACGAGCACATGTCAAGGTATTCCACAGTGTGAATATGACTATATTATGACTGGTCGGAGAGAAATTGGCCTTGCAACACTCCAGAAGCAGAAGAATTTCCTTGCCATACAAAGAAGTGGTTCAAAACAATGTAAGTCATTACTTCAATAACATTTGTTTATGTAAACAGATAGAGCGCTAAAATTACTCCCGGAATACACACCGGATAGGTCGCTCGTTCGATCCCGCACTGTGGGCTCACCAAGCCTTCCATCATTTCAGAGTCGGAAAAACTATCCAAAACCTGTCTGGAAGGATAGCAACACTGACTTGATATATCGATAGCTCACCGAAACACATCGTATAGGCCCAACATGCATTCACTCGTCTTAAGCGGTGCCTGTTGATGTCGAATACATGTCGTATCTCGTGATCAATCTACGGTGGAAGCTTCATCCTTTTATCGTTTTATTATGGGCTGAGTGGGGATATGTTCGATTTGATCAAAGTGTAAACTAACATGTTGATCAGATACCCTCGGTGCGTGTTGGATATAGTCCTAATGAGCAGTACACTATGCACCTCATAAAGACTTCCATTCCTCCAGTTCTCCAGAATTTTCCCTCACTCTTATCCCATCAAATATTTTTGCTCGCGTATGTAGTTGAGGATGCTTCAACTACACCCGCCACCATTGGCCATAAGTATCATGTGTTCCTGCGAAGACTTTGGTTTCCTGTTATCAAAACTGACTCAATTGTCGTAGACGAAATGCGTCTTCAACTTTTGGTGAAGTGGAATGAAGCTTAGCTGTTGATATTATAATAAGTATTCTATTCTTCTTCCTTTGTTATTCCTTAAGAGAATAAATAAGGTTAGAAAATATTCTGGTTAAAAAATAATTAGATATTGTAGCATTAGATAATTGGCATTTTAGTGATCTCTTGTGGTCCGTTACTGAAGAAAGAAGGCGTCATCAAAACACCACCAGCTGCTAATTATTTAGAAGGCGATAAGGTGACGTTCTCATGCAAACCAAAATATTACATTCACGGTGACATTGAACGTACATGTCACAATGGAACATGGTCCCCTGGCTGGTGGGCGTGGTGTCGAGGTAAGTCGAGAGAGAACTCGATCACTTAATCGACTTATTCGATCGACTATATCAATCGACTTATTTCTGTTCATTCGTGAAAAATCGATAATTGATTCGGTCGGAGGATATTAGCTTAAATAAGTTGGGTATCCTTCCAACGGTTTACCACCTCATCGTGGCAGGAAGGTGTTCCTGAGTGTCGGAGAAGGGCTACATGGATCACAGGGTGCGGCCAGAAGCCCGGCTTCACTCCCAGTCAGTTGAGAGGCGCGCCCTTACTAGTTGTGCGGGCCCCAGCATAATCATCATTTTTCGGAGATTTGCTGGTTAAGCCACTGCGGTTTCCATGGTAGTCACTAGATTAAGATCCGAGTTTTGGTCCAATTCGATTATGCTCGATTTTCATATCTGATAGTATCTGTTATGTGTTCATGTGTTTCCTAAATCTCTATTAAATTGTTTTTGGAAAGCTATTATGATTAAGGAGATTTTGGAGTTTGAATCGACTTTCAAGTGATTTTCATATATACACACAATTAGAAAAACTTATTTCTATTTCCCTTCAGGGCTCTTTTAAAAATCGATTATTGATTTCACGTTTTTCATGTGATGTATCTTTCTAGATCGTAATCTTGAATACGCATTGAAGTGGATGACAGCCTTACTTTCGATTTTTGGTGAGAATTTTTTCTCAATTATTACAGTAAGAATGTAGGCAATTCGAAAATGATGCTGGACGATTCCAAAAAAGAAGTTAAGAGTAACAAAAAGGAATCGCGATGATGAAAGGGTGAACGGAGTAAATAAAATAACTGCGGCATAGTTTTTAGGTTTCGTCATGATGTTCATTATAATATTCTGCGTCCTGTGGAATATACGGCGGAGAAAACAAGAAGAACATTTACAACGAAAACTTGAAAATGTAAGCCTCACATAAAAATATTAGTTCTACTATGTGCTCTCAATCCCACCTGCCGCAGGGCGGCAACACTTCGACATTCAATGGATCCAACACCAACCGACGATTGTCACGACAAACCGGCTCAGGCTTCAGGTAGACTTCTTAGTAATCAGTTAGAAAAAAGATTAGAGTTACTCTATGTGTCATTTTAAAGGAAAAGTCGACATTATTTCTGAACGCGTGGTGTTAAATTCTGCTAGAATACAATTTTTTAGCACTGAAAGAGTACCACTGCAGGAGGATTTCATTGATAGATTTGGCGATAGGTTGCCGGATATGCGACAAGAATGGAAAATATTACCTTCTTATAATCAGGTACTATATAACACGATCGACTACGATATCTCTGCACGATGTTTCTAGTCGATCGATATACTGATCTTTAGGAGCAACATTTAACGCGATCACCTCCAAGCGCGTTAGGGACACAGCGTCAATTACCTACACAGCCACAATCATTATTATTTGAGACATCAGTTATATAAATAATGGATTTGTTGATTTTATGTTGTTTGAATTATTTCTTGCTTTTCGTTGCCTTCCCATTGTCACTGCCTTCTCAGAATGAGTTCACTGCTAAAGCTTTATAGAAATCTTTCTGTCGATGAGGATATGCATGTGTTTTATTAGTATATGTTGCTTTGTTTAATAATAAAATGATTATGCCTATCACAGAGGATAAAAGGATAAAGCTATCGGCGTTGATCAATTCCTGAGGCATGTGCCATGCATTCGACTTCATTAAGTTGGAGGTGATTGAATGCATATCTGGCCTTTACAATGACTCGTGACCCCAGAGGGAAGGGAAGGCTTGGTGGGCCATGGTCGAGGGGATCGATTCCACGTGTGTGTTGCAGGGCGCCTCCGACCACTGCGCCACACACCACCTACGCCTATCATAATCCTTTTATTTTGCCAAAAAATTGCCAGTCGACTGGTTTCTTTTTTCTTCTGGATTCAAACATTCGGCGGACAGCTGTCATTCGTCGCTTATTTTGTAGAATCTAAAAGTATTGGTGGATTCATGCGCTCAGTGATCAGTATATAATGCGATTATGTTAATGGCAATCATACTTGGACAACTAACACTTTCACAAAGTCGCTATGTATTTTCGCAGGCACCTAGTCATTTTGTTCTTGACGTTTATCGAAAATGGTGGTAAGCCAGATACTTAGCTTTTTTATGTGTTTAAGAACTCAGTTTTTTCTCTTTGCAATATTAAAAGGTCGAACTTTCTGATTGAAAGAAATGAGAAAATTGGGGACAGCCGCATTGGGCAGATTGGAGATGAATCGTTAAAAAAGCTGTGAGATTAGTTGGTTGACCTATGCCAGCTTTTTCTTCAACGTAATAGTTGAAGAGCTTTTGCTGTACTGAACAGTACTGTTGATAGCTCCCACAGCTACTCAGATATAGGTCGTGAATGGCTAAGGCACTACAGCTAAGGCGTTGTGATTTAATCTGTTATTACATATGTTCATTGTCGTTTATTAATGTAAACTTTAATGAGAAACCATAAAGCGATCTGGATTTTTTCTCCTTTGAATACAAATATTTGACAGAATTGTTATTTTCTACAATCTAACAGCGATAACTTCCCATTCAGTACTCGGGTTTCCATTTATCCCACCACCGTGGCTACCGTGGCAACAGATCGGACCAATAGGCGGACCATTTGGTGAGTGGAGCTCATCATTTATCCATATGGTGACCTATAACTGCATCACTGGTATCATCCACAGTCTCGTTAACCGTTAAGTGTTTGAGGCCACACCACTAAATACGGTATAACGATAGAGTCACCCTCTTCGCTAAGGCTCCTCGGTACCTACCGATCGCTAAGGACACATTACGAGCCTCATGATTTTGGTATAGAGTCTTTTATTTTTATTGTCGTAGATAAGAAAGTAGCCACATTCGCCTAATTTTGCTGCGGTATTAACGCACTCTTAGTTGAGAACCCCCTTAAAAATGTCGTACTCTATCTCAATCTCAATTCTGAATTTTCTTTAACGCAAATAGACCCTCTATTCACATTGCATTTCGATCCCTTATCACCAACTAAGGCCTGCAATCCCTTGAGTGTGGCCTTGAAGTGTAAGACAATATAGTTGACATTTCAGAAATCCGAGCTTTATTTAACTTCAACATAAATGATCAACGTTTTCTTGGATTGTTGAGCTTAAATGAGGACAGTAAAAAAGATTTATGTCGTCAGCGTTTTGACATTTTTGGCTTCTTCAAAGCCGGATTGATTCGAGTCGATTATCCACAGATATTTTTCCTCGCAATGTGAGTCACCGTAGTCTCACCGAGTCGAATCGAGTTCAGTATCGCTTAAATACCGGACCCTCACTCGGTGGCGTCCTTTTGTGCAGGATATTTGTTGACCGCTTGTCTACTAATCGCGATTTGTTTCCATGAAGACGGTCCATCCTGCTGCACCGCATTACATCAATTGGTGTGAAAGGATAAAGCTTGGCGTTGATCAATCCCTGAGAAATGCGCCATGCATTCGACTTCATTGAGTATCGTTTGGAGGTGATTGAATGCATATCTGGCTTTTATAATGACTCACGGTGGCCTACCGATTTGTCGAGCCAGTGCTGCTATCCTCCCAGACAAGTCTGGTACCAATTCGCCGACACCGGAGAAATAGAGGGCTTAGTGAGCCTGAGAAGCAGGGAACGATCCCATGTCTATTGCAGGGTGCCTCCAACCACTGCGCTACACGCAGCCCTCTTCAAATGGTATCTTACGATATAATGTTTGCTAGAACTGACTTTCATTATTTAACATCGGCATGAATAATAACGAAAGCGCCGAAACGTTAACCAAAGACAGGCTCGTGCAGGCTTAATAGTCCAAGAAAATATTCGACATTCCTACCAACTTATACGCTCTGATATCGCGTATGGTGTGGATTCCATCACTTCTTTCCTTCAAATCAATTTATCCCAATCGTTATTGACAAAAGTCTTAAGATTTTAAGGTTCGGATGCTGTTTTCGTATTATCGGTCCTCTTTACTAATGTCGTCGAATACTGGTCGAGTCAATTCCCCCTCAAATTCTGGGACAGCCGTGCCAGGCAGTTAGCAGATCTTCATCTAACGCAGAAGCCATGTTTTGTGCATTGGAGAATGTTACCTACGCGAGCCTGATAACATTCGTAGTTACACATATGTTACACATTAGTACTTCGAAAATTCATGATAACTAATCATTGTGAGGTAGACGCTACGAGAATTAAACAAGGGTTTGTTTTCTTTTCATTGTTATGCCCTATATCGTTAGGTGTGAGTACTTGTTAGATCTAGGAAACAACGGGTATGAAAAGTAAAATTCATCACAACTTAATCGATATAACTTCAATGATGTTGAGATACTTGCAAAACTCCGGACCGCAGCTCTATGCGGCGGGGAACGAACGCGCAATTGTCCTTTCCGGGGACTAACGCGTTCACCACTACACCATGCAGGTCCTTCGTTTCGCCTGTCTCTCAGCTAGTTCTATCGATCTTTGCCACAGCAATCACCCATCAGCGGGATTGATATGGGAGCCCAAATCGGTAACGAACCCAGTTAAGCTGAGGCTGCAGTTATAATCAAACGGGTGATTGCTGTGGCAAGGATCAATAGAACTAGCTGAGAGACAGGCGAAACGAAGGACCAGCACAGTGTGGTGGTTAACACGTTACTCCCCGGAAATGACAATAGCGTTCGTTCCCCACCGCATACACCTGCAGTCCGGAGTTTTGCAAATATCTCAGCTTCATTGAAGTTATCTTTCGCAATATACCCTGCCATTAAAAAAGAGTGGGCAGTAAATAATTAGTTAAAATTAATCGATATACATTTTCCCCGTGGTGATTAAAAAACGGTGAAAAAAGTTCTCTATCGGGATGAACGTCAATGAAGTTGGCCAGCTCCAAGCACGTTGATATAGAAGCGACTACATATTAAGTGAGCTAATATTGCCTTAAAAGATTTTGCTTTAGAAAATGCTACACTCTCTACAAAAAGTGCAAAAATTCCGAACAATTAAAATGTCAACCAACGTCCCGCATGCGTAACAAAACGTCGAAAGAGCCGTCAAGTGCTTCTTCACCGGTTCCCTGCTTTTTTGCAATCGCTGCACTTCACTCTTACCTCCACTCCCAATGATTAGATGTGTATTGAAGACCTGAGTTGATTGTCGAACGCACGTGTCAATTGTATTTCAATGTCCAGTTCACACCTCATCAGCACAGCTGGATGTTAGGAGAACAGCTGAGTGAAGAGGTTCCCTCTGAGTGCGGTGTACTATAGTTCGTCACCGCGATGTGGTGTATTCATCGTCGTATCCAGTCGAATCTTCTTCAGTAGAACACCATTCGAATGAAGTAACCTCACCGGGGAACGCTCTTTATACAAGATAGTGTTGATACTGACAGTTCGGTAATAATGGTTTGTTAAGATATTTGTAAAACTCCGGACCGCAGGTGTCTGCGGTGGGGAACGAATGCGCTATTGTTCATTCCGGGGAGTAACGCGTTCACCACCGGAGTTTTGCAAATATCTCAGCAGTATTGTGGTTGTATTTCGCTTAATACCCTGCCATAAAAATTATAGAAGGCAGAAAATAAAAAGTAAACATAATCATTTGTTTTTTACCAGGCAATCCATCCAGGAGCAGTCGGTACCACTATTAACTGGCTCAGAGCATGATAATATTTAGAAAGCCGATTTTTCTTTAACACTCTCACGGCGTGTAACAGTGGTTTTGCGGAAGTAGGCAGCAAGACACCTCTAGGTCTAATTTTGTTTGCGGTGGTTTATTTTAACACGTAGAACTACTTCCCCACACTTTTTGTTATCAGCTGATAACGTGTAGAGCAAAGATATAGTTTTGGTCGTTGGTAGGGAAAAGCTGTTTTCTGCACTAAGAAATATTCCGAAAATCTTTTTCCGAACAAGTTCACTAACCAGAAATTTGGTGGTGATTGACCACTATTCCAATTCCAGCTGCAATAGTGAGTAATGGTTATCCTATAGAGTGTGTGGGTTTACAAACTGCTGAAATAGGGGCCCATAAGTAGCAGAACATTATGTTGACAGTAACGTGCTTGTATGATGGACCACAGTAACGTGTACATCCTCAACGCGCACTTCTATCAGGGGGCAAACTACACCGTTAGAAAAAGAATACATCCTCGACTCGAAACGCCGACTTTCTATAAACCTCAGCAATGATAATTGATTTATGTAATTCTTACGAACAACCTTTGTTGAGCTGACGCAAGGTTGGTATCAGCCAGTGGCTGAGGTTTCGGCGACTTCGCCTTCCTCGGTGTGCGAGTGAACGTCTCGTCGTCCTACATGCACAACAAGCGGGTGCTCACACACGATCCCATGAGCACGCAGAAACGGCCGCAGTCGTTTGGGGGTTAATTAGAACCTCTAGAAGAAACGAAAACGTTGCCAACAAAATGGAATTTGACAGGAATCCATTCAATGGGATTACCTTACCATTCCATTTAACCAAGATCAGTATATATGTCAAAACACTTGAAGAGTACACCATTTACTTCCGCATGAGAGATTTCTTTTCTTAAACTGACGTTATTTTTTCTACATTAGTTCACGTATTGTGCGGATCCCAGCACTTCTTGCATATACTTCATGGTCTCCGAACTAGCATCCACGAATGTGTTCTGATGTGTTGAGTTTGGCTTCCACTTTAGAACTATATCTTCTTCACTAATGTCGTAGAATACTAATTGAGTTCGTTTTCCCTGCGACCCTAAGACAGCTTTGCTAGTGTTTCCAGCTCCTCATCACAACTTGTCGCCGGCCTTCATGGATTGGAAGGACCTTCTCCTAAAGAAACCTGGTACCAATTTGTTGATCCCGGTTGGATGGAAGGTTTGGTTGGCCCGGGTAAGGGTATAACTAACAACCATGCATTGCAATGCATCTTTATCCACCACGCTTTACTTTTCCCTCAGCGGGTTTTCTGCAGGGAAAAAGTGGCTCAGAAATCGCTTCAATACTACAGGAAATGAAATAAAGAGATTGATAGGACGTGTGAGGCAGCACTACTAACAGATTTCCAGTTGTTTCTCCTCATTTCTACAGATATCGTGGTCATTTAACTGACTGGTGTCCTTATTTAGGTGTATGTGGACCTTCACAGGTCTACAATGTTGTAGTGCTTCTTCGTCTCACACCACTTGACATCGCCGAGGCGAAAGACGCGATGACGTTTTGGACGTTCGGCCAACTGAGCAAATTACTCCATGATCGAGCATCGCAGGTCGATGGCGAAGTAGGTATGTGGGCAAAGTGGCCCACAAACACTCTTACTGTAATACCTTAGTAATAAGGATAAGAGGATAAAGTTCTGGGCGTTGATCAATCTCTGTGGGATGTACCATGCATTTGACTTCATTAAGCATCGTTTGGAGGTGATTAAATGTATATCTACCCTTTACAATGACTCGCGGTGGCTTACCGAGGTATCGCTCCCAAACAAGTCTGGTGAAAATTTGCCGACCCCGGAGGGTGGAAGGCTTGCTGGACCGTGAGCGCGCGGATCGATTTCACGTGTTTGTTGCAAGGTGCCTCTGACCACTGCGCCACACGCGTCCTTTTACCGTATTAACCGTTCATAAAACCAATTTATCATTTGTAATATCGTTGACCATTAACTGCAGATGATTTTAGTTAGCTGGGTGCGCATAGTGGAACGGTTAAAGGTGCCTTGCAATGCATATGTCCTGGGTTCGATCCCTCACCTCTCGTTAACCCAACCTCCCAGTCCTTACTGAAATTAGTCCGGGAAGATATGAACTGTGACTTGATACATTAGCATGTCTCCCCAAATCATTGTACAGGTTAAATATGCGTCCAGCCACCTCGACATTCAATGAGTCAGTTTCCGTTATTCGGTATGCCGAGCTTCCTCGACTGAGGAGGCCAGGCCGCTCATTCCCATAATCTCAACAGAAACACTAAAAATGAAGAGCCTGATAAGAGAAGCTATTCGTACATTAATTAAGACAAAACTACGGACTAATACCGATAAAAGTCTGAGCTTACAAGTGTCTTTAGATCATTTTAGAGTCTCTACAACCTCTTTATCGTCGAGCGCTACTTACCATCGGAAGAGTTCGTTGAGGCAGTGGAAGGATTGACTGCAGTGCAAAAAGCCCATATCGGTGAATTATCAATTGGTGGGCGACGAATCGAACTGGATCAAATCATGAGCGGTATCATATTAAGTCTGCCAAATGAGGTGCAGATCAAGGTGAAAGGTATCTCTCTACATACCGTAAAAAGTAATCTTTACTCACCCCATCATAATTTCAGGCCCGAAACTTCATGTTGCTCATGAAAACTCTAGTCTGTCTTCACTCTTCATTACAGGGCTCACCCTTGTACTGAAGAAATTCGATGCGTCGTTGATTACTCTCCAGTTTTACTACACTCTTATCAACAGCTCGTAATAAAACTTCAACTTCAGTGTATTGCAGGTCGTGCGAAAAGTACAATTTTCATGAGATACTCTAGATTATGTGCAGTGGGGCACGTGTAGCGTAGTGATTAGAAGGTTCATCCAACACACAGGATCCTTGGCTCAAGCGCGCATCCTAGACAGACCAAGCAAATTCGTAACACACTTGTTTGCTCGGATAGGAACACTGAAGCGATAGACCGCTGGGCCATCGTACGTCAGTGTAAACGTCATATATGGATTCATCCATCCCTACGATGCCTATCAAGTCGAATTCATGGCGCGTTTCTGACGGAGTAAGCAACGCCAAGCGCATTACCCTTTACCGTTTAACTTTGAATTCCATTTGGAGAACCCATGTATAGAACCTACCCAAGGTAGGTGGAAATGAACGGCAACCGATCGACAAGAGCCGTTAGCGACTGGATTCCTCAGGATGTCAAACGTAATGCAGGACGATCACTAACGCAATGGTCAGAGTTCTTCACGAAAACCCTAAAAGGAAAGTACAATGCTCAACGAGTCTTTAGAGCGAGCAGAACCCACTGGGCTACTCTTGTACCCGATAGGAAAACATGGATGATTTACTGGGGCCCACTAGAGTCACTCGACGACCAGCAGGACAACAGGTGATACAGGTGACAGGTGATAAGTAGAAAACTGCATCAATGTAAAATCTGAGTTATTAAAGTGGTCTGGAAGGACTCACAGTTGTAAACAACTTATTATTCCCGATAACACAACAATTGACGAAAGCCTTCTGTTTAACCGTTCAACGTGGGCTTCGTTCGGTGCTTCGTTGGGCTTCCAACACCGGCATTGCACACCAACCAACTCTGGTGCTGTTAGTGGTGACTGATCAACGCAGAGGCCATTGTTTTAGTCCATTTTGGATCTTTTATTGAGTTTTAGTAAACTTCCCCTTCCATGTAAACTTTTGCGGAAGTAGCTGTTGCTGGTAGTCTAATCAATGCAAACATGCATGAGTGTGCTTACTTGTATACGGGTCATATCCTTGTCATTTTGAAGAAAATCCAATGAGGAAATGCCTGAGATGAACATGGGAATTGGTTTAAAGTCGCTTCCAACAAATAGCCTCCATGTCTATGTTGGGAAAGCATTTCACACGAAGCTGTGTGGGAACCTTAGCCAACTTTGTGAGTTATATGGAAATGTCGTGTCACCAGAAACGCTAAGATTGAAGGGGAAGTGACATTGTCATGCTAGAAGGGCAAGATTTTCCATTCAGACCACTTCAGATAGGCCTACACTTTGTCTTCTTCAACTCACTGTCGTTCTTAAAAAAGCCTCCTGGCTCTTTTACACTTCTATACCTTCGCCACTATATCTTCAACAAACAATGATTTTGTGTATTTTTATTGATCATGTGGTTGTTTGCTCTTCATTTGTCCACTTCGATCTGTAATTGAGTTTATCTCCCCGTAACTCTCTGTTGTAGCAGGGTTTTCTTCTCAAAAAAGTATATATAAGTATGTGTGATTGTAGATGGACTCCATGCAAGCGGTTTTGTCGCCGTCGATGACACCAGGATGGAACGATCCGCCGAACTTGGGAGGTGCCGCTCCTCCAGTCGCTTCGAATCGTCTCGCACAACTTCGAAGACGTCCGGTTGACCCGTCGTTATCGGTAGTATATATTTGAGACACCATCTATTATTTTTTGTTTATATTTCCTAGATCTTTGTTTTCGCGGACAAAAGTTTGGAAGAAGTCAAGGAGCGAACAATGCTTCCAGTTTGATTTTCAGCGGCGAGCACAACGAAGCTACTATGTTATATCATTGTTTAATACGTTGCAGGGATTATTATACTGTACCCATGGTTCTATGGGGGAATGCTCTAGGACGCGTAGTAAAAAGAAGCAGAAGTTTAGCCTGACCATTAATAATCCCAAATTATTAATTATAAAACAACAAAGGATAAAGCTTTCGGCGTTTTTCAATCCCTAAGGGTCTGCCATGCATTCGACTTCATTAAGCATCGTTGGAGGTGAATGAATGCATATCCGGCCTTTACAGTGACTCGCGGTGAGCTACCGATGTATCGAGCCAAGGGCTCGGGTATTGATCCTATGTGTATTGTAGGGCGCCTCGACCACTGCGCTATACGCGCCGTATTATTAATCATACGTTATGAAAATCTACTAAAGGTTTCCATAGGAAAAATTTAAGCGATGAAAAGGGTGAGGACGATTTAAAGTTTGAGAGAATGGGACTGTCTGGATGGCGCCTATGAGTTAGAAAGTTTGGCCGTGAATGTTAGTGCTCGCTTTTTAATTCCTGTAGTTTTAAGATATTTGACATCTAGCTGTTCTGAATCTGATTCTACGTGTTGAAACTCCTACGGAAATACGCCGTTGATGTTCTTCGCTTTCCGTATTCACCAAATCCTGGTCTCACCTCCTAGTTTGAATCACATAGTCCGTGTGGTTTAAGAAAGTGTACATGTGGGTGTCTCATTTTGAAACGTTTAGAACGTTCTATTCTCTGTTATTTTAGGGCGTCTCACCAGGAGGGAATATTGCGCCACAAATTACAGGAAATGTTCGAGGCCATGAAGGTCATCAGTATCACGGAGTGTATGGTGATGGGTGAGTAATCGGCTTGAGTGTTTCTTCGTTTTGTTATTTATTTTATTTTAAAATTTTTGTGTTATTTGTCCATTAAATTCTTTTTGTTATTAAATAACGTGTACCTGTTTTATGGTTTTATACATTTATATTGACTCTAAGAGGCGCGTGTGGTGCAATGGTCGGAGGCGCTCTGCAACACACACGTGAAATCGATCCTTGCGCCATGGCCCACCTAACCTTCCATCCCTCCTGGATCGTCGAATTGGTACCAAACTTGTCTGGGAGCATAACAGCGCTGGCTGGATAAATCCGTAGGCCACCGGGAGTCATTGTAAGGGTCAGATATGCATCCAATCACCTCCAAACGATGCTTAATGAACTCAAATACATGCCACATCCCTCATGGATTGATCAACGCCAAGAGCTTTATCCTTCTTAGCTTTATAAGCGCTTTATAAATGGTGTAGGGTAAAGCTCTCGGCGTTGATCAATCCCTAAGAGATGCGTCATGCATGCGACTTCATTATGTATCATCGGAGGTGATTGAATGCATATTTGGCCTTTACAATGGTTGCCTGTGGCCTACCGATTTATCCAGCCAGTGTTGTTATGCTCCCAGACAAGTTTGGTGCCAATTTGCCGACCCCAGAGGGATGGAAGGCTTGGTGGGCCATGGGCGCAAGGATCCATTTCACGCGTGTGTTGCAGGGCGCCTCCGACCACTGCACCACACGCGCCTCTTGTATTGGTTAATATTATCCTTTATAATGGCTAATATTCCATGATATCAGAATGTTCTTAGTGGTAGAGTGGAGTCTTGGTTGTTCCAGATATGGTGTGGCTCCCTCTAATCCGGTTTCACAGGGCTACGGAGTGAGTGTTCATTTGTTTTTAAGACTACATGGTGGACAAAGCAAGCCAGCTATTCCACACGATTGTCAAAAAATTTGCTTCTAGCAAAATTTTTCATTTATGCTATACACTTCTGTTCATCATGTGCTTCCCATTGTTGCATCAAACGGTATATGGCAAAACGTAGTCGAAGTAACTTAATCATCAGAAATCTAGAGTAACTCTTGCTATTCTGGTTTGAAGTCCCTTCGTCTTCACTTTAACCACCAGCCAATCGGTGATTAGAATATTCATGTGTAATTATAGGTGTAGATGTTATAGCACCAGGTACGTCTTGTGGATTTCTCATTCATAATAGTCTTTGGTTATCTTAGTTATCAGGAACGGTGATACTACGCGGTTTTTTTTGTACTGTGATATCCAGTAGTAACTTGCTTGTCTTTACTGTAATACGAATTATTTGCTATTCTTATACTCTTATTTGGCTTAATAGAATACACGTCCTCGCAACGGTTTACCGCCTCATCGTGGCTGGGAGGTTTTCCTGGGTGCCGAACTGCGATGTACAGCGTAGGATTCATCTCCTGGCAGTCTCCTAATCTGAGGAGGAGTCCAGCGTTTCCATTAGGAAACCTAGCCAAGTGTAAACCAATAACAGGATCCACCACCGTCCCGGTATCAAAGTCACATAGTAGCAAATCTCCCCCTGATCCACAAGGGTCGCGACTGCCTCTGATGGTGACGACCTGGGGCAGACTTTGGCCAAGCTGACCTCGGGATTCCAGGGGACCAAAATGACCTAACCAGCAAATCTCCGAAAAATGGAGGTCATGCTGGCGCCCGTACAACCAGTGAGGATGGGTCATTGAAGTATCAAGTAAGAATGCGCGTGGGCATTAATGGTTGAGAAGGGTGATAGAAGAAAATCCCAAATCCTCTAGCACATACCTGTAATTTGTTTATTGTAGGATTTTAGCTTTACTCATGTACAGACAGTCTGCGCCCATATGAACCCACCACCATGAATATTGCTACCTCCAAGCGGCATATAAACAAGCGGTTAGCCCATTCCTTCAATCCACTCAGAGATAGTATATCGTCGTTTTGATTCGCGCTTAGACCTTTAACTGCCACCTGAAATCGAATCTAGGTGCCTTCAAAGCTAGTTGGTTCTATAATACTCATAGGCGGAGTTCACATGGTTTCTCCTGTAATATATTGCAGTTCACTTTTGCTGAAATACAGTATGGGGAGGACGTGATGACAGTTCGTGCTTTTCATCCATAGAAAAATGTCATCCAATGATATAGCTGATTTGCATTGTTGACAATTTTTTCTTCATTTCTTCACTACAGAATTACTCATTTTATTGGTGCATTACAAAAATTCGCTTTTAGTTTGTGCCTTCATCGATCTCCATGGGTATCCCGACCTCGGCGCCCATCCCAGGGGCGGTTACTACACGTGCTGCAACTGACTTCCGTGGTCACCTTGAGCAGGGCAGCTACCAACGATCATCTCATACACCACTTATGACCATATCAAATCAAATGCTCCCAACATCATATAGTCATGTGCCTCAACAGCCCCAGCTTCCATACTCGACCACGAACAACGCATCTCAAAAGGAAGAGGTGCCTCCTACTTTCGCTCAGTCAGTGCCACAATATCCTCAACAGCCCTCATATCTGCATAGTCAACGCGAGGCTTCGATTAACCAACAGTTTTTTCAACAACAACAACACCTTGGAGCTCCACCGAATCGGCAGTTTTTTGGACAACAAAAACAACAACAACAGTACCATGGAGCTCCACTGATACGCAGGTGCTTAGTGAATTTAAATTGGTATTCATAGAATGCGATTTGTCAACACGGGTATAGCAATAATTAGACGACATTTTTTTTTCGAAATCTACCAATATTTAGACACGTTTTCTTTCTGGTTTTTTTTTTAACGCAGAATTATCAATCAATTAGATTTACTGCTATGAGTTTCATTAATTTAGCTACATAGAAGAGAGGTGTATTTGAAGTTCACCTGAACAATTCAGTACATCCCGTTAACACCGTAAAAGAGGGCTTTTAGAACTATGAAATGATTTCTGATCTTTATTCATGTTTTAGCTTATCTGCGACGAAGCTGGCTTTTGGCGAGCAACTTCTGATATTTTTTCAAAATCTAGAGCAGTTAGGGAAACGCAGTTGTTAGGAATGCTACGCAATAAACGCAGTGTCACCGGTTCAACCCTATCCTGCGTCTGTCACGCCTTTTGTCTCTCTGCGTCTATTGCATTGTTATCAGACTTTTCTGGGAGGAGCTTTATCCTATTCACAAAAGCTGGTGACTGACCGTAATGAAGACCTGAGAATGTTCTAGCTAGGCTATCGCAGCTTTTCAAAGAGAATGATCTTAACCGGCATTCAACGGCATTCATGGCGAAGGGAAATTTCTCAGGTGAAAAGTAAACCTATACACAAATCCGAATGCTTTCATGGATGACGCACGCAGGGTAACGGTGGTGAAGAAAGTGCTAGGATTTGCACAATATATGAAGTCGCGTCGTAGAAAATTTGTTGACATTTTATTTTACATTTTTGAAGTTTCAAACGCACTTTTGGTGTCTACAATTATTAATGATGCGCTAGATGAGATTACTGTTGTCCGCAGTTCTACAAATTCCCGACTGTCGAATCGCTCTGGTATTCTAAATATCGGCGTCGACGACAGCTACATTTTATGGCCTCAAGAAGGAAACAAGTTTTCATCGTTGTGAAACAAGGAATGTTATATCTTGTTTTTAAAGACCAGAAACAAAGACGGATTAGTGTTTTTTATTTCAAATGATGCAGTTCGCTATGACCTGTAATTTGCTTAATTGAAGTCGCAAAACGCTATCATAATGTTTTCGGTCTCGCAAGCATTGAATTCGACGCATGTTCTCGCCAATGTGTTAAGTACTGTTTACAAATGTATGCCTTGCGCAGGATTTTTTTTATAATTGCACTATTTCCTATGTGTTGTAAAAGAAAAGTTCTCTTTTCTTTCTTTAACCGCATAAAGTGATTAAAAGTAGGAAGCTTAGTACTTTTAGCTAAAGTTTCATTTTAAGCTACTGTTGAAGTTGAGTGAGATAGTTTGGATTTTACGAGGACTTTTAACAGTTAACTAGGGGTCTGTGTGGCGCAGTGATTAGAGACACTTTACAGTACATTTGTGGTTATTGGTTCAATCCCGCCTTCATAACAAACCAAACGCTCAATCCCTCTGTGGTCGACAAAGTGGTATTAGTCTTTTCTGAGATGATTCGGTACATCATTGAGCTACTGCAACTCATTGAATAGGCCAAATATGTATTCGTTAACTTCAAAAGATGCTTATTGCTGTTGAGTCTATGGTGTATTCCTTAGGAATTGATGGATGCCGAACGCTTTATCCCTTATCTTGTTATGTTGTGTAAATGAGAATTATCGGAAACCGATGGGGAAGAAGAGAATGGCCTACGTGTAGTGAACGTTCAACTGTATCTTCAACGAAGGAAACATAGTAGGAATTCACATGACCCAGTAAGTGGCCACGTCTAAATGTGCAATTCATTGGCCACTTAAGACTATCTCGTAATAATACTGCATGGTTTGCTCGAACAGAAGAAAAGTGATTAAATGAATTCTGGAATAATATGCTCCACATTTTTGATAGGGTGTGGAGGTCAATATATTGGCTCGACAGTTAGATTGTTCTATATTGCCATACATTAATGTCGAAGCGGAAAGGTAGAACTTAACCCATGTTGTCCTCCACAAAGTACATCCCTTTATCACTTGAGATCCTCCTTTTTGTCGAGTTACTCGAACAGATACTAGTCATTTTCACTTGTCCGTACCCCACAAGAGGACCATACGAGTGATGCAAATGGTTTCATACTTTGGTGGTTATGTCTTTGTTCAAATGTTTTTGCCGAGAAGGCAATAGTCGTAAGTTCCACACACTCTGTCATAGCATTAGCTCGTATATAGCTGCGCTTCCAGATAGAAATCGAGAAGTCGTTATCAGCTTGTGACTCTGCATGGAGAATAGAACAATGATATACAGTGGTATTCTGCACCCAGTGACACCACCTTTATTCGATGAAGAGTCAATACCGTGGAAGTGGAGCTACTAGGTACTTTGA